TGCATTAATGGCAGGTGTTTTGAGAACCTTCCCTGCTCTCTCTCTCTCCCGCCCCGCCTCGCCCCGTTTTTGATGTTTTTGTCCCTGACTGAGATTCGAACCGGGAAGGCTTTTGTTTCCAAGGCAGGAGCTCTGCCAGTAGACTATTTTGCTGCCATTGACTTGCATGGGAGAATAGGAACCTTTATCTTCTCTCAATCCCCATCCCCTGCCAAGGTATTTCTTTGTGTGGTCTTTGCACTGTTTCTTTGTATGGTCTTTACTTTGAAAGTAGTTGTTCTACTCCAGAAATTTTGTGTAGCACAAACTGTGTTAATTTGGGGGAGAACAGAATATACAGAGCAGACCCCATCAAGGGACATCTAGACTGACCCCCTTCTTTGGGATCAAGAACATGGTTTCCCACTAAAGGGAAGGGAATGGGTTTCAGAACCATTAAGCAAGCAACTTTGGTAAGCCTAAACAAATGGTTTTAAAATCTTGCGGTTTCCCTTCCAGTGGTGAGTGGCAATGCAAAGACTCTGGGATGAGGTGGGCGTGGCTAAGAACAGCTCTTCTTGAAGGCCACACCCCCAGTGGGAGAGATTGCAAAAGGTCCTGTAGTTTAATAGCAGGACCTTTTGCAATCTTTACCACTGAAGATGTGGCCTTCAAGAAGAGCTGTGCTTAGCCACACCCACCTTGTCCCTCTTTGCATCACCGTCACTCGCCAGGGAAGGGAAAGTGCGAGATTTTAAAACCATTTGTTTAGGCTCTGCCAAAGTTGCTTAATGGTTCTGAAAATCAAAATAACTGTGGGAGACATCTGAAAATAATTCCGCACAATGGGTAAGTGGTTCAAATTCGGAATTGCTCCTTCCACTATGGTTTGAAATTGGTTCAAAAGTCCAAATTCAGTATGTTTTTCCAAATTTTAGGTTTTTCTGAACTGAACCTAAGAAGCCTAATAAATACATAGGAAGTTATCACATTTGGGGGTGGGGGTGGAGCATCATATATCTGTAGCATTATGTCCTGTTGTATTGGAAAACAAATTGTATCATTTCTCAGATCCCATCAAACATTCTTTCTTGCCTTTTCTCCCAAAATAATGTATTTTCAAATTTATCACATGAGTGAGTGCTGTTCCTGCCCACTCATTGATTTGTTTTGTTGTAAAACTTGGGGAGAATATATTGAGAGATACTAGACTTTACCTTCCAATCCTGCAACTCCCGAATAGACAGGAGCATTGATCTTGGAAGACATACACCACTGTGAGTAGACTTTCCCTTCCAATCTTGTCACTCCCGAGAAGAGAGCAGGAATTGATCTGCAACCCTACCCCCCCCCCCTTCTCTAGGTTCCTCTCCTTCCTCTCAATCTCACAAACTAGCTGTAGTGCAATTTGGGAAGCCAACCAAGTATTGACATTTCTCTCTCAAAATCCTGCCCCTTCCCCTGAAGGCTAAATTGCTGACCTGAAGGTCAGGTGTTTGAATCCATGAGACAGAGTGTGCTCCCATCTGTCACCTCCAGCTTCCCATGCAGAGACATGAGAGGAGCCTTCTTGGCATCCCCTGGGCAATGTTATTGCAGATGGTCAATTCTCTTACACCAGAAGCAACTTGCAGTTTCTCAAGTTATTTCTGAACATTTTTTTTTGCTAATTTAGCTATTTAAGAACAAGGAATTATCACAGATTTACATACAATGAAACCTTGGTATCTGCTGGGGTTTCATTTCAGGCCCCCCCGTGGATATCAAAATCCATTGATGTTTAAGTCCCATTATATGTGATGACATAGTAAGGTGGTTTCCTTAATTTGAAATGGCAAAATCAAAATGTGTTTTTTAGAATATTTTCAAGCTGTAGATGGAGGAATCCAGAGATGAATCTGTTTACATGGAGAAATGACTGTACACTCAAGCAGTAGCTTTAATGAATGAAATAATTAATGGAATAAACTGTGTCAGATCTTGTTCCTGGAGGCATCACAATAACTGTGGATGAAATTCTTCATGTCTGGGTGATCACTTGCATATTGAGTAACCACAACATTTATAACCCTAGGTGAAACTTGACTGCATGTTTATATTTATAATGTTTTAATAAATAAATAAAAACTGTTTAAGATTCTGTCTTGTCTTTTGGTTTGACACATCAATGTATTTGTTCTTTTAGATATGAAAATGTAGGGAGAAGAAATTTCTCCCGGGGGACATTGCAACTTTATCTAGCTTGAGAACAGATAAAGAGATTACTGAGTAGCAAGGGAAAAGAAAGGAACCAGTCAACTATGTTTCTGTCCCCAGCATGCAGTATAATTCAAGCAGTGATTTACACCAGGAGGGGAAAAAACCACACAATTAAATATGAGAAACAATGAATATTTTAAAAAGTTGGAATATTTGGTTCTTCAAATATGCAAATGATTTCCATAGAATGGCTTGAAAATTAGCTTGTTTTTCCCCCAGTGAGAGTAAAATAGGATAGAAGAAAGTATAAATACACCAAAGTAAGGCATTATATGCTACCCCTTGTTGTTTCTCTACACTAAGCATCTACTTCTTCCTGTTATTCTACATTCTCCTCTGTATTTGTTGAGCTACAAGATTTGTTTTATTTGTTGATTTGTTTATTTTTCTCTCTTGCCTGGGCCTCCTAACAAAATAAAATCATAAAATCAATTACATAAAATAACAAAACTATGATTAAAACATTGCTTTCATTAATTAAAAACTATATACAATAAAAAATAAAATAAATAAATAAAACTCATCAATGAGGCATAATAATAATAATAATAATAATAATAATAATAATAATAATAATAATATTTATAATAATGAAATCTACTCTGCAGTTAATCAGCTTAAACACTAAAGCCTTATCTGAGTAAAATGACTTTGCCTGCTAACAGAAAGCCCAACTAGTCTCCCATAACATGTAAATTCTGGTCCCAGAACCAGCCACCTAAAATGCCCTCTTGCATTGACAAAAGTGTGAGGAAGCATCAACATTGTAAAATTAATGTAGTTTGACACCACTTTAACTGTCATTGCTCAATGCTATAGAATCCTAGGAATTGCAGTTTTACAAGGTTTTTAATATTTTCTGCCAGAGTGCTGGTGCCTCCCTCACCAAACTACAACTCCAAATAGTCCATTGCATTGATCCATGGCTTTTAAAGTGGCAATAATTTATTATTATTATTATTATTATTATTATTATTATTAATAATAATAATAATAATAATAATAATAATAATAATAATAATATACCATTCTATCTCCCCTAGTGGATTTAGGGCAGTTTCCATGTATGCAAAATAACACAGAAAACATATAGAGTAACCAAAACATAGGCATAAAATTATTAACACTATCATATACATTAAAACCAGTTCTGACACTATTATATTGTGCAAAATAAGCTACCAGGGGCCAGAATTTTAAAGTGGGCATAAACAATTTGAGAGGGTTGGGTTGAGGCTAGTGCAGAAAAAAATAGGGCCGGGGGAATGGGTAAAGTGCAAGGACCAGTCCAAACAATGACAATAGTGGGTCCTGGGGCTACTCATTTCCAGGGGCTGTTAAAGAACTATAAAAAGGTCTGGACCAGGGCGAGTACTTCGAGATGACAGAGAACTGGGGTAGTGAGTGAAGTTCAAGGCAGAGTCCTAACTGATAGCCTGGGGCTTGGGACTAGTCATTTTCAAAGGCCCAACAAAAGTACATTAATTATATAGTATCAATAAAACCCAAGAAGGCCTTCTCCCAATGATTTTAAAACTGAAACAGGTTCATGTAGGATAATTCAGTTTTTCGAAATGTAGGGGACCCCCTGCTTGGGGTCCTTGCTGAGTCCGTCGCAGAGGGCAGCAAAATGAAGAGAGTCTAGCCTCCAGAGGTAAAGCAAATCTCGTTTATTTTCTTCACGGCCGTGGAGAGACGGAACAAGCCAGAAACAACACAGTGTTTCACTCAAAGCGGCTGCCCGTGCTTACATCTCAAAAGTGGGCCTTCTTATACTCTTTAACAAACATCTTAAACAATGAGATTAGGCAAAAGGTCAAACATCCTATACCTGGTTATACATTAAAGTTTCCTACTTTTGCTGGTTCTGCATTCCCTAAATTAAGCAATAAGGATGTGAATGAAAGGTCATATAGGCAGAAAAGCTACATGTCACTCCTTCCAGTATGGGAGGGGGACTTCTGTTTCCTCTCAATCTTTGGTTCATAGTGACCTATTAAGCCTGACCTCTTCATTATTCTGCTGACTATTTCCAGTTTCTCTTTCCTTATTCTGCAGGTTTTCTGTGATACGTGTCTCTTGCTCCTCTGTCACTCTGTAACTTGTAAATGACCCTTTGCTTTGCCAAACAGCAGGAAATGCCTATTTTCTATTCTTATCTTAGTTTGCCAAAATACTTACTTCATTCGCCTGTTTTAATCTGCCTGCTTTAAAAAGGGGAAAGGTTACTGTCTTATGTAAAAAGCTTCTATAGTATAGGTTTTTAGATTGATTCAACTTTAGGATTTTCAGACTTAGCCTCCTTCAAAAGAGTCTATTACTAAGTCATGTTGGGTTTTGAAGGTTAACTTAGAATGGTCCCACCAGCAATCCCGTGAAGGTGTTATAACAAAGGAGTCATATAATCCCCATATATGTGATCAATTGCCTGCTTACAGGGTTATGGACCAAACTCTTTTGCAAAGTCAGTACCATAAAGAGCATGTTACCATAATTAGAATATAATGTTACAAAGGAATTTCAGAAATGCTTAAAGTTTAAGTTGTGTGAGAACCATTTAAAGTATCTTATGATCCAAATATACAATTTTATCGTATTTCTAGGTTAACTGAAAAAGTTACTTTTCCTGACATATCAATATATGTGAAATGCACACAGTTATAGTTTTGAAACTATTCGTGCTGTCATTATTCATTAAATTTTAAGTCAGTCATAGATAATGGTGGTTCTGCTGTTAATAGCTTATTTTTGCTTATTTTCAGTGTGCTGTAAGGTCCTGTGAATTGAAAATGAAACTGATTTGAAAGTGCCATTCTATCCAGTGGAAGAAATAGAAGGAATTGACCTACTGGTTAGTATCTTTATATCTTGTTTATCATCTCTGTATGTTTAGAGGTGTGAAAATTATCTCAAGACATTACTAACCATTTAATACAAGTGGCAGTCTTTGTTGTGTTTCAGTATTAGTGCAAGGGTTTATTTAAACAAAAGCAAGATAAGCCAAGAACTAGTTAGAAAGCAAACTAAAGTCTTGAGTCTTTTAAGGTCCGGCTAAAATAACAGAATTACCATATAGCACACAACCAGTGTAATGATGAACAGAAGCCAAGGCCAAGAGTCCAGTTAATACAGACAAGGCGAGTATCACAGAGCCAGGTCAGGAATAAGAACAAACAATAACCAGACCCTTTTATTATGAGATCTCAGCTGCTGCTCATTTCAGCAAGCTATCACAGGTTATCCCAGAAGCCTGAGATGTTCTCTTTGGGAAGGTGATTAGATTAACCCCTTCTAAGCTTGCTGCAATACTGAGAAAAGTCCTGCCCCCAGAAGCAACCAAGCCAGGCCAGACAAACCTATGGCCATTACAATCTTCCTATAGGTTATTCTGCCCATATATATGCAAGAATACTTTCATTGATGGTTGCATAGAAAGAAGTTAGATTGATTTTGAACTACCATGGGGAAAATATTTTTGTCAAAATCTGGATTTACCTTATATTATCAGAAAATCCAACAAGCCAGGACAAATATGGCAGGGAATTTGACTTACCCATCTTACTATGAGCCATTAAAAGTGGATTAGAAGCTGCTTTTCATTCTACTTAAGCAAAACTCCAACTCACTGAAATCAATCTCCAAAATATTCTCATTTAAGCATGTGCTTGGATTTCAGGTCCTCACCCAGGAAAGGAAGTAAATTGAATGAGATTTGAATGTCTCAGGCTGCCTATACTAAAATCTGGTACTGTGGTCTATTAAATTGAAAGTGCTGAAGAGTATTTATTTCTACATTGTAGAATTGAACTTGAAATAAACAGGATTAGCTGTGCTGGTTGCATTGCAAATGAGTAAAACCAGGTGTTACAGATGGCAAAAGACTGTTTCCTTTTAGTATGTAGAAAATAGATTGCAGTCAGTACCCAGATAATACATCTTTAGCTCATTGGCATCTAAGATGCTTGAGAACATGGCTTTGAAACTTAATTTTGTAACACATTGAATGTAAGTGATATGCTGCAGTCAACAACAACTAACTACAGGAAGGATGAAACACTTGATCCTAAAACATTGTCTTGCACTGCTGCTATAGCTAGCATTCAGAGGCACTGACCACTTAAAATAATTGAATTATTCTCTGTTGAGTAATTCAAATGGGATGAACTGGACATTTTTGGACAAGTCTTCCTTTAGAAGGAAAATATTGTGTAAAGTGTGAAAAGTGTGAAAAAATTATGGAGTTGGTGTTGCTATTGCTGTGCACATTTTATCTGCTATTTTGTCCTGTTGACTATTGCTGGCATTTTGTGGATGAACATCAGACTCTGTTTGACTCACCATTAGTCTCTTAACTGTGTAAATGTTGAGGACAGTATAACCAGCTATTCTGTGCAGCATGATTATAGCCATACCAAAAAAAGATCAGGGAAATTGGCTTTAACACTTTTTAAACTGTGAAAATCACAAACAATATTGTGAAAGGCCTTGCTGTGTGCTTGGTTCTGATCAAATGAAGAGAACTCTTTGAAAAAATAATACATGTGAGCTATTGTGCCATCTTAGTTGTGCTTTCAATGGGGTGGTGATTTTTGCTGTGCGGAAAAATAGAGTTGACATTTGCATTATTCTGAACTTTTAAGATTTGGCTGGGAAGGAGTGAATTTCAGATTTGTTTCAAAAAGCCTAGTTTCGTGTTAAAAGGCCACTGAATACAAAGAGTCTGTCTTGGTGATGACGTTGCCAAAAACGTTATTGAATGAAAAAGGAGGCCTGACGCCAGCAATTTATTCCTCGGAAATTAATTTTTTTTCTTCTTCATAGTCTTCCAGAATAATGTCTAACTTTCTGGCTGTTTTACAGTAGAAACACAAAGACCCTTGTCATTGTTACAAAGTGTATCTATGCATTTTCTTGTCTTCTTAACTGCATTCAGAATAATTACATGAGAACAAAATGCCCATATTATAATGTCCACTCTAAAAAGAAGGCTCTTCTTAAATCCTATGTGGTAAATTGCATTTTAAAATGCCATTTATTGGGTTTTCTTTTGTCCCATGCACCAGCCATTGCTAATGGGAATAATAACTGTGAAGGAATGTGAGACAAAAACTGCTGTTCTTTATTTTTCTGCATTTAGTTGCTAACTTCTCACTTCTCTTTCTACTATTTCCAATATGTACAAATCATTCATTTTTCAAATACCTTATTTATTAAAAGTTAGCAAGGAGTCTTGGGGTTAATAATATAGGAGTGTTTCATTATTAGAACAGAATGAGACAATTTCTAGTATTTCAGGATTCACACCTGCTAAAGTGGTAAATTTTGGTAAATTCCTTAAAAAATACAACTGGGTATGAGAACTATGAGTTTTTATACACACACACTGCTGTTGCTTCCAGGAAGTCACATCTGTTCTTTGTGCAAGATTACTGTACCCTGTGCAAATAAAATACAATGACGAGAGGAGAAAAGCAATTTTGCACTATATCATGTTTTGTATTTTTTCCTCTTTGTTGTTAAATGTTTTTGTTGTATAATAGTTGTGAAAGATTGGTGGTTTTTGTGCAATTTGCAATTTTTTGTGCAAGTTCTTTTTATTTATGATTATTGTTTCTTTGTGTAGAAAACAGCAGTCTTGCACACACGCACAAACAAATGCATGCGGCTTTCTAGAAACAGTTTATTTTTGCAAATCCCCACAATACTTCAGAATATGTGAGTACTGGGCAAGTGCTCAAAATTCTTGCCAGTGTTTTATTCTTTCCAATAGGGGGATCAATAACTACACAAAATTCTGGCTCTGAGGTCATTGAGTTGTTCAAACTCTTTGTCCCCAATTCAGAGTAACAGTGGGGCCAGAGCCCAGATAGTCCCATCAAGCTGATTGGTCTCATTGGATTGTTGTCCTTACCTGATATCAGCACAGTTGCCAGCATGATGGGACAGAAGGAGATTCCCTCTCCTTCTTCCTGGTTGTATAGGTGCCTTTGCTTATAAAAGCAATGGTGCAGGGTGGTGGCCAGGAGCTCTCCTAATCTCTCTGGCCAACTGCCATTCCAAAACACCCCCCTTTTCATGTGGTGATAAAAAGAAAAGGGGATGGCGCCACCAGCCCATTTATATAGTACACCAGATTGTATTGCAGCTGGTTATCCTGTTTACACACACCCAAGGTGTTGGTTTGCTTTGGACTTTTGCTAAAACTGCAGAACATTCTCCAGACAGTCCTACATAGATCATTAACGTGAGCTTGGTTTGGCATGCTGTGTACCAGATTCAGGAAGCAGCAATGAGTCTCCACTGTTCAGCTGCACTGGATAAGGTGTCACATGGGTAATGGTATAGGTGGGGACTGTCATCCTGAATCCCTGGGCTACCTGAGCCCAGAAAGTACAGAATGGTTCTGTTTAGGAATTGGCCAACTGACTTGACTGTACCTCACTCATTAGGATTAGTTTAAGGTAGCTTTCCCCTGGATTCAGCCGGATCAGCACCATGCAGCTGCTGCAGGGTGGATCCTATATCGCACTGACCGAAGTGGTCAGTGCATATGTGCCCCTGACTGTACTTAACATGGGAATAATCAGGCCCAGCCCTGTTTACTCCATATCAAGATCAGAAGTCCCTGGGCATTGTCTGGATATTCATGCTTGACATCTGGTCCACTTCAGGGAAAGAGCTGGTATAGACAAGTCCTGGGTTTCCCAAGTATGTCGATACATGAATAGCCAGAGTGGAGAATTCCTATCATTCTTGAGTCTCAGAGCTTATGTAGAGAACTCCTTGCACAACTGAATCACAGCATCTTTTCTGGTTCTACTCCCATTCACAAAAGTGTAGTCTGTAAATATCAATAGTGGAGCACATGTTTGGCATGTAGGAGCCACCCCAAATTTACTTTGTGAAATCTTTTGTTTAAGTAAGTATCTAAGAAGCCCAGTTTTCTCTGCAGTTATTTTCCATCTTACCTTAATAATATAATATGCAGAGAGGAGGAAAAGAAGATTAAATGTGGAATGGTAGGACTGGAGAGAAAGAGGGTGGGAGATACCAATATAAAAGTAAATATTGGATGGGGGCAGGAGGAAAATTGTTTATTGTTCCTAATTATCCAAGTGCATGGCACCTGAACTTCCAAACTAAGATTTAGAAAAGGGGTACATTACAACTTACCACAGTGTTATACAAAATTGTACAGAATATAATGATGTAAAATAGAAACTAGTTCAGAAGATGAGAGAGGTTACTGAAGAGAGATGTCCTCCTACCCCCCCGAGACAGTCTGCAAACACTTTCCCTACACACTTTCCTCAATGAGGTTACCTGTGTCTCCAAGCCACCAAACCATTAGATGCAAATTAAAATAGCTGTTTTGTTAAATCAGGATTAGGATGTTTAATTTAAAATTTATTTGAATTATTTCTTCACTTTTTACTTGTTGAGTTTGCTAGATGAAATGTTTTCAATAGTCTATGGTTTTGTGATTAGCTGCAATTTGATATTGCATCAGTGCTTTATCTGTCAATTGTTTTTTTTAATTTTTTTTGTAGCTATGTTAGTGTATACTATTATTAGATGACATAGGTGTTCTTTATTAGAAAGCAAGTACTTAGACCCTGTATATGATATTGGACTGCACTGGAAAAGGGTTGACGGAATTCAATAACTGGAGGCCTGAACTGTGTCCATAAAAACACAGTTTTGCAAGACTATTCATACATAGATGTAATTGTAAGAATATTGCTTGGGGAGAGAACACTGCTTTTACTCCTGTCGTGCAAAGTATTAGGCTAGGTGATGATTACCAGAAGAAGAAGAAAAGAAGAGAAAAAAAGCTTACTCTTACATTTT